AGCATGGAGAATGCGATCCTCAGGGCTGGGTGCTGTTGCAAAGAGCAGGACTCGGTAGATTTTAATTCTCTTCGCTCGGATTTTTCAGCCTTAATGCTGCTTTGATACGGCATCTCACCCGGGAAACCCTGAAGCAAACTTTCAGGTTCTTGGGCTCGGTGTGCTTGTCCCACCATCCTGCCGTGTTGCTGAGGGAAGAGGCCAAGAAGCGGAAGGAGGAGTCTCGACCGATCAGCAATGATTGAATTCTGGGATTTGGTGCTGTCTGCCATTTTGGATACAGGATAATGCAGGCGTTCAGATCAGTATTGTTTGGGTGGGGAAATGCTTGTGGGGATCATTGAATGCTGGCTAATTCAGTCATGTTGGAGTCTCTGGGAATCTGGACCGACCTCCGGCATACAGTCATTTGTGTCCGGCAGGCGCGAACGGATCTTCAGGTGGAGAAGGCGAAATTGGTTCAGTGTTTGGACTCCGGGTTTGGGCTCCACTTTTTGGGACGTCTCAGATTCACTGGGCTCTGAAGAACGGGGCTTCTTTCATCTGGTAGCAGAGGGACTTGTGCTCGCCTCTCAGCGCGTAGGCCAGTCTTGTCCGTTCACCCATACCGGCCGCTCACGCACATTCCCGCTGTCACAGAAGGAGTCTACAGGCTGGATTTGATGGCGCGTTGACGGCGAGCCGGTGAAAGGACAGGGCTGGAGTACGCACGTCGTAGCAGCAGCAGCAGAGGTGGTGGTGGAGGTGGTGGAGGTGGTGGAGGTGGTGGAGGTGGTGGTGGTGGTGGTGGTGGTAGCGGCAGTGGCGGCAGTGCTAGTATTGGTAGGTGGGTCGGCTGGGTCTCAGGGAGCGCCACCAGTGGGCTCGGGGGAAGCCACGGTGTGGACGTTACTCGTGGGTCTCGGATCGTGGAAGCTGCCGACATGGAGCGGATGATCGAAGAGGCTCCCACGGATTCTTACTCGTACTATGAGAATTTGGATGAGGATAGCGTGCTGATCGTGTTCGGGTTTTCTCTGGGAGTCGGCAAGACCGAAATTTGAGAACCGCCGAGGGTAAGCTCCTAGGCCACAAGATCGGCGCGGGAGCGCGCCTGACGAAGAGCGTTGCCAAGCGGTCATCGACCGTTCAACAATGTCTCGCGTGTGCCAACCGGTTCGGGGACACTTTCCCACCGAGCGCAGCCAGCAGCAGTAGCAGCAGCAG